TTCAGGGTAATTTGTTACTTAGCAATGGATAACTAATACAGTCTCTGTTTCCATGGAGCGCATAGCCCAGTGGCAGCAGATGATGTCAGTTAACTATGATACCAATTAGTGTAAAATTACAGCTGTGTCAGGTGCAGAGGGAGAGAGGCCTGGAGTGGAGCATGCCTCCGAGTGGCCTGATTCTGTGCCAGGGAAGACTCCTGGGACACCAGGGTGGGTTGAGCTGGTGTTTGAAGAGTCCGTGATGTTAACCTGGCAACCTGCGATGGGAAGAGCGCGTCTGGCTGCAGGGACAGCACCTGCAAATGTCTTATGAAAGCAGGAAGCCGAGGTGTGTGGAGGGCTGAAAGGGCTAGGGAGGCTGGAACTGAGACGGGGCTGAGCTAGATTCCAGAGCATCGTGTGGGCACGTCCAGGGATTGGGCTTTGCTCCAGCCCAGCACTGGGGGGTGGCCAAGGGGTAGAGCATTTGGCTAGCATGGGTGAGGCCCTGGTTCAATCCCCAGAAATCCAGGGGAAAAAAGTGTTAGCAGCACATTAGCATTTGGGTGAAATACTGTGGGAAGAGGAAGAACCGAGAAGCACATCAGTCCCAAGTGTTTCTGCTGACTCTGTCTTTCATACATAGAGTGGGGTTCTAAGTGTCTGTCACATAGAATGTCCTCAAATCTATCCACTCACCTATGAGCTGGCCTGGGAAGGACTGGACATTAAACAGCATAAAAGAGAATGACCGAGCTTTACAGCATCGACAAATTATTATTTTTAACGTGAAAATAAACCTGCTGCTTTGTGAACCCATTAGAGACGCTTTGGGACTTACTGCAGCTATGGAACCTGACCCTGGTGACTTGAATGACAGATCCCTTGTTCCCGTTTGAACCTGTTGTGCTGATTCTGGAGACAGAACTGTTAGTGCAAACGGCTGTGAATGGAGCTAAATGATTTTTCACGATCCCACTCGCAGCCATTGCCAAGTGGATATATTTCTATTATCTAGATGTCCAAAGAATAGGTGTTGATAAGTATATACTTAACACCTATTGTCCAATACAATAATTAAGTACCATATAATTTATAATATGCACATGTATTAAGGAGGACACATAATACATAAATTATATTAGTTTATAGTTTTATTTGTTTATTATTTTAAATATCCTTTAGTTGTTAATGGACTTTTATTTTATTTATATATACACGTGATGCCTAGAATCGAACCCAGTGCCTCTCACATGCTAGGCAAGCACTTGACCACTGAGCCACATCCCCAGCCCTATTTTGTATTTTATTTAGAGACAGGGTCTTAAATAAAAGTTGCTTAGCGCGCCGCCTTTGCTGAGGCTGGCTTGGAACTCCTGATTCTCCTGCCTCAGCCTCCGGAGCAGAGCCGCTAGGATTATAGGCATATACCTCCCCCCATCCTATTTATTTTTAATTTAATTAAAATTTATAGATTATTTATAATGAACAGGGACATATTGTATACACCATACTTATAAATAAATAATCTCCTCTCGCTTAATTTATAGCCTTCAAATCTTCAGCAATCCTCCGCCCCACTTGACATCCGGCTGCTCGGTACACGTGAGGTGTGCTGTTGCGACGGCAGAGTCAGGACGCCCTTTGCATGTCATTTGCCCCTGTAGGTTCCAACAGGTTTCTTGGAACGACAAAATACTTGGGAAATTTTAAAGAAATGAAGGTCCTTCGCCCGGTGGAGAAAGGCAACCTAAAAACAGGACAGACAGCAGCAGTAGCCTGATGGGGCCTCCCCGCAGCCCCTCCTCCGGGCAGGCACCGGGGTCTCTTCAAAAGGTGACTCCGATGGCGTCACCCTGACGTCAGCTGTTTTACAGCTCTTCCCATTGGACTTGAAATAAAACATACTCCTTATCAAGGCCTCGGAGCTCCTGTGAAGTGGGCCTCCTCTGGCCTCCCTTTCCCATCTGGGACCTCTCCTTCTCCTATGGCTTATAATCAAACCACGCCAGCTTCGGTTCTGCCCGTCTAGGGTGCCAGGCTTGCCCCTGCCTCAGGGCCTTTGCAACTGCTGTTCTCTTAGTCAGGAACACACTCTCCTGGAGTGGCCCAGCTGGCTTCTTCTCACTCAGGTCTGAGTTCAGATGCAGCCTCATCTAGGAAGGCCCTCCGCCTCCTCCCTCGCCCTCTTTGCCACAATACAGTGCGGTGTCCTTTCTGAATTTCTTTTTCTTACCCGATGTGTGTCTGGACTTAGAGCTGAGACTCTCACTTGGGCATCACCCCTAAGGTCAGTGCCCTGGGGCTGGGAGGTAGCTCAGTGGTGGTGCACCTGCCTCGCAAGGGTGAGGCCCTGGGGATCCCTAGTTAAAAAAGAAAAGTCATAAGGTCAGGGTCCTTTTCAGTCTCCTGAGTCAGTGGAACTGCTTGGCCCCTGAAAATTGTTTTCTGAAGTAATCTGTTGATGGTTGGCCCACGTTCTGCACCCCAAGGGTGGGTATTCCGGAGTGCCAGGGCGATGCTCTCCTAGGCAAAGCTCTGCTTCAGCTTGATGCTGTGAGCAGAGTCCAGCCATGGGCAGCCAGGGAGGGCAGTGTGGTGCCCGGCACCCAGTGTTTGTGTCCATGGACTGGGTAGAGCAGCGATTCGGGGTGCATGCTAATTGCATGACTAATCCACATTGGTCATCCAACGTCTTCCAAGGAATGAGTTTTTTTTTTTTTCCTTTTGGTACTAGGGATTGAACCCAGGAGTGCTCTAATACTGGGCTACACCCCTAGCTCTATTTTATATTTTATTTTGAGACAGGATCTCACCAAGTTGCTGAGGCTGGCTTGTAACTTGAGTTTCTCCTTGCCTCAGCCTCCTGAGAAGCTGGGATTACAAACATGCGCCACTTTGCCTGGAGAATTAGTAGTTCTTTTTTTAAAAAAAAATAACACACACACACACACACACATATCAGGGATTGAACCCAGAGGTGCCTAACCACTGACCCACATCCCCAACCCTTTTATATATATTTTTATTTAGCAACAGAATCTCACTGAGTTGCTTATGGCCTCTCTAAATTGCTGAGGCTGGCTTTGAACTCTTGATCCTCCTGTCTCAGCCTCCTAAGCAGCTGGGATTACAGGTGTGCACCACCATGCTGGGTTTAAAAACAGATTTATTGAGATGTAACACACACACCATCCAACTCGCCTATTTAAAGTGAACTGTCTGTCGGTTTGCAGCGCATCAAGAGGGCTGTGCTTCCTCGCCATCTGCGCTAGAACGTTTCCTGTCTCCTACTCATGAATCCTCCAACCCCATGCCGCTCTGACCCTGGGCAACTGCTAGTCCACTTTCTGTCTGTCTGGATTTTCCTGCTCTGTACAGTTCCTGTCAGTGAAATGTCACATCACACGCTTGTGTCTGACTTTTCACTTAACATGGTGTTTTCAAGGTTCGTCCGTGCTGTGGTACGAATCACTACTTGGTCCCTTTTTATTGCCAAATAATGTTTTGTGTCCCCACTCATCTGCGGATAGGCTTTTGGGTAATGTCTGGTGTTGATACTCTTGGGAAGACCCCTTCCGACTCTCCAGGGCCGAGTGCTGGTGGGGACGGCCCAGGGAAGGGGGTGGAGGCTTCTCTGCAGGAGAGAAGCCTGCGTGTTTCAGGAGCTGTGACCCTGAGTCCCTGCCGGGTGTGGACAGCATTTCAGTGGATCGGGGATGAAACGTTACTCAGAGAATTCCAGAGCGAGCAAAGAAGGCCCTCTTCATTGTCAGAGGAGAAAGTCCCCATCTGGCGCTAAGATGTCTTGATGCCTCTGTGACATGCGCAGTCTCTCTTCCCTGTGCAGCATCGAGAGCCCGGCCTCCTGGCCAGAGCCTCCTGGCCGCACTGCTCTCTGGTTAGAAGTGAGCAGCCTTCCTTTTTGTTACATTTTCCTTTTTCTTTTTGTGGTGCGGGGGATTCAAGAACCTTGTGCATGAGAGACAAACGTTCCAACAGTGGGCTGCACCGGGAACCTCTATTTTTTTTTTGTAGCTATCTTCGGTAAATGGTATTGATTTTTTATTTATAGCAGTGATATAGAGTATCCTTTAAAATTTATTGAAAGTGCAAAAATGCTTATTAAAATGAGTGATAGCAATTAAATTACATGAAGCAATTAAAGAACCAGAAGGCTTTTAGTAGCATAATAATTATTTTGAAAATCTCTTTACTGTGTGACAGTTACAGCTTTAAGGCTCCTTCATAGATCAGCTTTGTCCAGTCCTCCTAATACTCATTCCACAGATGAGGAAACTGGGCACAGAAAGGTTAAATAAATTCCTCAGTGCCACACAGCTAGAAAGTGGCAGAGCTGTGATTTAGACCACGCCATTGGTATCACCCCTCCTGTTGTGGAGGTGATTTGTGAATGAAGAGAGGTGGGCAGAACTTAGGTGTAGGGGACATGCTGTGAATTACCTTCAGCTTGCTGTGACCTCTTCTTCCAGCTACTATGGAATGAAACAGGGTTGAGCCAGGTGTGGCAGTACACACCTCTAATCCCATTGGATTGGGAGACTGAGGCAAGAGGATCAAAAGTTTGAGGCCAGCCTCAGCAACTTAGAGCCTAAGCAACTTAGTGAGTCCCTGTCTCAAAAAATAAAGACAGGGCCGGGGATATGGCTCAGTGGTAAAGTGCCCCTGGTTTCAATCCCCAGTACCCAAAACAAGCAAACAGGCTCCCGGTGGCTCCCACTCCTGCCATTGGGTCTGTGGTGTATCTTGTGTCCTTTAACAAATGCTCCCTCCACTTGGGATGGAACCCAGGGCCTCATGCACTGGGTTAACTCTATCACTGAGTTACAGCCAGCCCCTGGGTGAGATGCACAAGTTCCGTGTAGGAGCAAACAGGGAAGCAGGGAATTCTGGTCTACAGCAAGAGCTCTCTGGAACGCAATGCAGACGCTCAGGAGCATGTCAGCCGCTTCCTCTTTATTCATTCGTGACTTTGTTTATTCTTTTCTCCCAGCCAGTGTGTGTCGTGTGCCTCACCTGTGCCAGGAGCTCCTCCTGATTCCTCTGACACAGTCATGAATGGGACAGAAGAACTTCCTCGCTCCTGGAGCGTTGCTTGCCGGTGGTGCTGGAGACGGTGGAAGATCACACGCAGCTTTGGCAAGAGGGTCAGGTTTTGGAGCAAGAAAATGATTTGATGAGGTCTCCAGTTAAGAGAATGTCTGGCAGATGTGTTTATAAAAAATGGAGGAGAAGCAGGTAAGAAATGGCAGGAAATCTGGTTTGCTTCTACCCGAGGCTGGAGGGCCCTGTGGTACAAGGTGTGCGTGGGGGTGCATCTCATCAGAAGCTCTGAGATGTATGGAACCAAGGCCCTGGGTTTGTTCCTGGCACTTAAAAAAATTGAAGTTAAAAAAATAAAGCCAGGAATGGTGGCACAGGCCTGTGATCCCAGCGACTCAGGAGGCTGAGGCAGGAGGATCTCATGTGTGAGGCCCTATGCAACTTAGTGAGATCATGTCTCAAAATAAAAATAAAAACAAAAATGGCTGGGGATGTGGTTCAGTGGTAGAGCACTTGTCTGGCATGCATGAGGCCCTAGCACTGCCAAAAAAAAAAAAAAATTTAAAAGGTATGAAGAGTTTATTATGTGCCAGGCATTTCACTTTTACGATTGCAATCTAGTCTTACAGTACCTCTGTGAGGGAGATACGGTTACTATCCATATTTCTGATGAGGTCTTAAGTTTTCAAAGGAAAAGTCAAAATGGAAATTGCAATCCGATTAGAACCAAATGATGAAAACAGAGTGCTGTATATTAAAACTCATGGGATGAGACCAAAACAGTACTCAGAGGGAAATGTATAGCTTTGAAATGTGTTTACTAAAAATGCTAAAAAATGATATTTTTGAAAAAAAATCACTAATAAATATTTTAACCCAAGAAACATGGAAAAGAATAGCAAAATAATATTTAAAACTAGAAGAAATGAATGAATAAAGTCAAATGTAAAAAATGAAATAAATAGAAACAAAAAAGAAATGGGAGATTTGATCATTTTATAGAAAAAGAAATTGAAGTGTCATGAACTTGAAGCTTCAAATAACTTGTCTAAGGAATGCTATCAGCTGTGGGTAGCAGGGGCAGCAGAGCAGGGGCTTGACCCTGGACCTCTGCAGATTCTAGAGCCTGAACTCTTCACTGTGGAGGGTTTGGAGTATGAGGTCTCTCAGATGCTGACTGTTCTTCTTTCTTATGAGTTTGGCAGAAAATGCACTTTCTTTGGCTCCAGATGGCCACTGTAGCCAGCCCAGGTCCATGTGGAATGAAGGCCAAGGCAGGACTCCTGGTACCTGGTGGGGGGAATTCACTGTGCACAGCCAACCTGACCTGGAGAAGCAACCAGATAAGAACCTGAAGGATGACCAGCATTTCTGCAGTAGAGGAGCCCTCAGGGACTGGCAGCAGCTGCTTTCTAAATTGGTATGGTAACCACCTGGTTCCGGTTGGTCTGGGACTTTCCTGATTTTAGCACTGAAATTCCCACGTCTTGGGAAACCCCTCAGTGCTGAGCAATCTGGAATGGTTGGTCACCTTGCCAGGTTGCCCTTCACACTCGGGAATTCCAGAACATTTGGCTGGTGCAGTAGGCCCGTGGTCCTCAAGTTCAGATGAAGAATGACGACATCGGCAAGCCTGTATGGCCAGTTACCAATGAGGACACCTGGTCCCCCTCAGACTGAGCCAGGAAGAACCGAGTGTGGCCAAGAATCAGTGCTTTCCCCAGGGCCTTTTTGTGTACATTGAAGTTTGGATAAAATTCTCAGATGATAAAATTCCAGTCCCAGGACGGGGATGGTGATAACAGCCCCCGTGGTCTGGGTGTGGCAGGACAGGACCATTTGTCTTTGGATAATAAATGACCACCTCAGGTTCCTCGTGCATTAAGTAGAGATAATTAAAGGATATGCAAGCCCAGAGCCCCTGACGTCTACTGAATGTCTGGTAAATGTTACTTCTCCTTCTTTAGGCCTTGAGAGCCACTTCAAGAACCGAGCATAAAAAGCAGTTTTGCTCATGTAGCAAAATATTTTCCCAGGAGGACCCCAATTTAAAAAATCTTTCATAAAGTTCTTGAACTTAGTATCTGAAAAATAAAGAATATGCCTTGTTTACTTCTAGATTATTCCTCTTCGTGGCTCAGCTGTTAGAAAGCTCAAGTAGTGAGGACTTAATCATATAAAAAGCTACTCTTGGGCAGCAAGTTTGTATTGTCCTTTATTTTCAGTGCTGGGGATTGAACCCAGGACCTCCAGCTCATGGGATCTACGGATGAGCCCCATTCGCAGTCCTATAGGTAATCTTTTGATTTTTTTTTTTTGGTGGTCCTGGGAATTGGAACTAGGGGTGCTCTACCACTGAGCTTTATCCCCATCCCTTTTTTATTTTTTATTTTGAGACAGGGTCTCGCTATATTGCTTAGGTCCCCGATAAGTTGCTGAGGCTGGGTTTGAACTCCCTATCCTCCTGCCTCAGCCTCCGAGTCCTGGGATTATAGGTGTAATTTCTTTTTAAACATCATTTTTTGTTATGGTATCGTATATAGCACAAAAGTCATCATAGGAGCCAGTGTTAAGTACACAATTCAGTGAAACACTGATTACATTCACAGTGCTGTGTAATCACTACCACTATATATTTCCCAAAATTTTCATGCCTCCAAATAGAAACTCCTTTCTCATGAAGCAATAACTGCCCACTTCCCCCTCCCACAGGCCCTGGGTCCCTGGGATCCACCTTTTGTCTGTGCATTTAGCTGTTCTGGGTACTTCATGCAGTGGACACGCCGTGTTTGCCCTTTCCTCCATCTGTAGTGCACACTAGGCTCTGCTCATTTTAAAGGCTAATTAATATTTCGCTGCGTGGATGTACCACCCGTTGCTTCTCCATTCATCCCTTGGTGGAATCTGGTTCCTCTGCGTTTTATCTCTTGTGCCTAACACTGCAGGAAGCCTGGGTGCACCAGCCTCTGTCAAAGTTCCTCTTTTTCACTTCTTACCCATTTCTAGCTAGGAGTGGAATTGCTGGGTCATGTGGCAATTCTTGTTAACTCTTTGAGGAACTGCCAGAACACTTCCAAAGGGGAGGAGAAGAAGGACCCAAGGAGCAAGAAACCACTCCCCCAGCCCACAGCATGGCCTGGAGTTGGCCTGTGCCCCGATTTTGGCTCCTTCTCCTATCAGGCATTCCATCTGTAATCCTGCTGGTTAATATTCCGAAACAGAGATTTAGGAAAATGTAGTCTCAAGTTTTCTTTTAAGGCAACTCTGCCTTTCAAAGATCCTGATAAAATAAAATAAATGTCTCTGGAACCTGAAACTGTATCTTTAAACCATGCTAGATACCCAGAGTGGAAGTGAGTTCCTTTTCCGGGTGTACTTTTGTTTGAGTGTCTGAGAACACACATGAATAATGGCACACAATTCATGCTAGACCATATTAGGCAAGCCTCGTTGATACATCTCTTTCCCCGGGGGGCGTGTTTTCTTGAATTTTCAAATTCCTTCGCCAGATGGCAATTGGTAGGTCAGTTTCCCTCCTGGGACCTCAAGTCTAAGCAGGTGTGGTCCTGACTATGTTAAATATGCAACACTTGATTTCACCACGTATGTGACTTTCCTAGGGTTCTAACTCAGCCACATAATCAATCCAGGATAACATTCTTTAGGAAACTCAAAATATTTCAGGAATCTTACATATTCTACTTAAGAGATGGGATAAAATGTGCTTTCTCTCTCTCCATGGAACCAAAATATGTGGTGAGCACGATTTCCTGAAAAAGAAGGTCTCTGCTCTGGGGACATCAGCAGCACACAAGTCCAGGACCTGAACACCCCAGTCTACCAGTTCTGAGAAGTGATCTGTTATTTTCCTCCAAACCCCTCCGCTGTGGCGAGACCTCCCTCCCAGCTGAAGCAGTCTGCTGTAAGAATGTGCTCGCGTGAGGTTTAATCCCTTACAGGGATCCCAAATAGAGTTTCTTGCCAGAACTCTTTTCCTCTTTTACAAACTCCCCTCCTAAACAAGCTGTGATAAGTCACATTTGGGGCCGGTAACATCCTATCAGTGCATTTTTAAACAAGAGAAAAGGGCTCCACCTTGTACCATAAATTACAGGAACGTCGTTTCTAACCACAGAGCAGCAGTTCACATGAACAGGGTCTATTTCAGGATCTCCGGGCCAAGCTGAAACTTTCTAATAGAGCCACTGTGAACCTCCCAGCCCAGTGGCAGGCTGGTAAACCTGAACCAGCCCAGGGGGCGTGGGAGGGGGAGCCTTGGTCCTTTTTGACAATTTCCCTGTGTAAATATTCCCACTAAGTGTGACTGCAGGGTTCCAGCCTGATGCCCGAGAAGATGAATCGGGAAGGAGATTTACAACATCAGCTCTCCAGGGCCAGCCGGGGCTTCCAGCACACACGCCCTGCTTTGACTCAAGACAGAAGGAACCCCAATCTCTGGGAACAGAGCCCTCCTCTTCTTCTTTCTTGGAGAATGTTAAAAATGAGCTTTTGCTACACCCATGATCTCTGTCTCCATGATAAAATCCCAGAGGCTCTGCTAACTTTTTCCAAGTAACAGAATTTACTTCAATTGTTCCAAAGTTAATATTAAACCGCAACCACTGTTCAGATCCAAGGGATAAGCGTCCTGAGAAATTAAATATGTATATATTTTGTTTTAAACACACACACACACACACACACACACACTCATCTCCTTAGGGCCTCCCTAATGTGGAATCAATCTCATTTAAAAATAATTGTCATATGTGCTTTAGGACTTGAAGTTATTTTAACAAAATGTTCTTGTCATGTTGATGTCATTCTAATGACATGTTATTGGTATTTTTGTTCTCAACATGTGGATGTTTCCCAGGAAACTGACCAGTGGGAAGGATGGTGGGTGGGGAGGTGAGAGCAAGTCAGAAGCTGCAAGTTCAGGTTCTGATTAACCCTTCTCACTTATGTTCTGCGTTGACTGACATTTTCTGGGGAGCAAGAGCTTTCTGACTTGTTGGGATCAGCTCCACATGTGTTTCCCAGGGAGCCCGTGGGCTTCCTTCACAGGCGGTGCAGATGTCTGTGTCGCATTGGACACCGGGCGGGTGCTACCTGCTTGTACCCTAGGATGGGCTTCCTTATGTTTCCAACCCTCTCCGGGGCCCAGGAAAGCACCTGGATGTGTTTGTGATTCCACAAAATGAGGGACCCGATTGGTTTTCAAAACGGAAGTGACACCATTGGGCTTTCGAGATTCCAACAGGCTCATCTTTTCCTGGATCCATTCTACGCAGCGGGCTCTCTGAAGGCCGGGACATTTGAAAACCAGCTCTGGGTGCGAGCTGAACAAGAGGCGGTGGTTTACTGCAAATGAAGAGGTGGTGTGGGGGCTGGGGCGGTAGGTGAACCCGTGTGGGCAGAGGGAGTGGAACAGGGCTGAAGCCAGCTCTGACCCTCGCCCCCTGAGAGCTGTGCTCCCACGTCCTGCGTGTCAGTGGCTCCTTTGTAAACAGGGATGCCATCAGCACTGGGGATGTGGCGAAGGCTGAGTGAGACCAGGCGTGGAGAGGGCTTAGCACGTGACCAGTCCTGAGTTTCACTCAACAGATGCAGCTCCTGCCCTGCCCCCACCCCTGCCTTGATTTGCTTTTTAGTTAAATGTTTTAAGTTTTGGTAAAATACACATGAACTTACTCACTATTCTTTCTTAAGCGTAGTTCAGGGCGTTGAGCACACTCAAACCGTGCCAATCTTCAGACCATTACCCAGAGCTCCCCATCCTTGCTCCCCAGCCCTTCTGCTTCCCCTCTAGGAACCTGATCACTCCAAGTGCCTCAGAGGTGGAGCCCGACAGGATCTGCCCGTCGTCTGGCTTGTTTTGCTTAGTGGGATATCTTCAAGGTTCATCTAGGTTACAGCAGCTCAGGATGGCCCTCCTCTGCTGGCTGGGTCATGTCCATGGCACCTGTAGCCCACTCTGTACCCGTTCATCAGTGACGGGCCTCTGGGCCGTCTCCACCTCTTGGCTGCTGTGATCCCTGTGTACAGATGCCGGCTTGATTCACTTCCCCTTTCAGAAGACTCCTGGAATAAATTCCTACTTGCAGCATCGACGGTGCAGGTTCTGGAACAGCGCTGAGCACCTCCTCTCAGAGCGGACTTCTCCATCCTCGCTGTTAAAAGTAGCCCCCTCTGGCAGCCTCAACCCTGGACTCCACTTTGTTCTTCAGGGCTGTCAGCACCTTGCCATCCTAGACGCTGATTGGTTACTAATTGTCCGCAAGTACTACCTGGTCACTTCCAGGAGAGCAGGGACTGGGCTGTAGCTGTATTTGAGGGCCTGGCAAACAGTAGTTGCTCACTAAAAACAGTGACTGCACGGATGCCTGCGGTACCTCTCCTTGCCTACCTTTTATTCGCCGTGAGCGACAACTGGAGGCAAGACTTAGGAACAAGCAGGCAAGTGCCCCAGAGCCCTCTGAGAGACAGTGGGGGGCGTGTGCACCTGCAGCCAATACCAGAGGGTGAGCTTGGCACCTTCGCGGTGTTTGGGACTGTGGGACAGTCAGCTGGTGAGTCACTGGTTATGCCCTTGCCCTTCTGAGGACCTGGCCTGACCCTGATCCCCGAGGTCCAGAGCCAGCTCTGACTCACTCCTGCTCACCTAGGTGAGCAAGGCTTCAGCTAGCAGGGTGCATGGCATGCGACAATCCGGTTTCAAAACCAACCGCATACACTAGCTTGCCTCCGGTTAAAGTAAAACGCAGACCCTTGGCCTGGTGTCTGCTGGTCCAGGCCACCGTTCATCCGGATGCATGCACCACAGCACTCCAGCTTGCCTCCTTCGTCCTCCAGCTCCTCATTTCTAGAATAAAGCAGCTGGACTCGCAGTGACAACAACAAAGTCATAAAGTGCAGAAAGCAAAGTGGC